AGTGTTTTGTATAATTTTGATCTTTTTATTTATTAAAGTAGATCTAATTGTTTATCCCTTGCCTATTAAATTCTATTCTCTTTTCTTTGTTATTACTATATATTGATTTAATATTTGGTATATTGATAGGTAAAGGAGTTTTTGTAAAGGCTTTAGCTTGAATTTCGATTTTCCATATAGCAGATTCTAGATAGATAATTTGAGAAGTAATGATATTGGAGATAATAATAAGCTTTCCTTTTTCAGTATATTCTTTAAAGATCTTTAGGAGATCTAATAGCTTCGATTATTTATTACATGATTGAGAAAGAGTTGAGGCTAATATTATAAGATCTTTTATTTTTAGGATTGCTTTTTTTGATATAGTTATCTTGTTTTGTATTCTAGATTGTTTATTCTGATTACTAAGAGGTATTATAGAGTACCATTTTTTATTCTGATTGAATATATAAATAATATTGATTGTATTTTGAGTAATAAAAGGATTACTAAATAGATTGAATTCTTCAGCTCTTCTTCTAAAACTGGTTAACTGATTAGTTGATAGAATAGAGCTATAGATTTCGAATTGAGGGTTTTCAGAAGGCGGGGAAGGGCTTGAAGGTATTAGGATATCTAAAATAACAGTAGGATAAGTATTTAATATAATAAAGGCTTCAGAAAAAGCCTCCATCATAACTGTATCCCCAAATATTGATAGATTATTGAGACAATTCATATTGAGGATCTTATTCTTATTTTGATAATTTGAGATGAAAATTTTACACAAATTTTTGTATACATTTCGTATTTGGAATGCCAACAACAATATCACAACAACTACTAATCAGAATTACTTAAAGGCAATTGCAATCAATTTGGTTTAATAACTATAATCTAAATCGATCGCGAAAGGATTATATTTCGAAGAAAAAGTTTCCTTCGAAATTTGTTGTGTGATTCATTTACTGAAATATCTCTACAGATAATGAACTAGGATATAAAGATAACATACTCCATACTCATACTTCTCTAGACTCCAACCGACATCGCTTACTACATAACGCTACTGGATGTAAGCGATTTATTAACGACTGTGCTCTTTATGAGGAGAATTCGTTCTACGATAGACGAACCCCGCAATTAGTCTCAAAATTCTGAAAAGACTTTAAGCTATTTGTTTGAACAAACCCTAAGCCGGTTAGTCGTCGCATGTATTAATGTTCTTCATCATAAAATAATCTCAATCCTTCTTAGATCATGAAAGAAAAACTATCTGAATTATTGAAGTCTATCTGTTATCAAGCAATTTCTTCTTCCAGGTGAATTCGTCAGTCATGGAATCATTTCCAAAAAAAAAAAAAAAAAAGTGGGCGTGACACATACAAATGGAATGAGCATGTAGATTGGGGAAATCCTGATGGTTTGGTATCAACTAGGAAGGATTTCTTGAGTAATCTACGGCGTAGATCTTCTCCCCACAAAATTTTACGGTTAAAATGCATAATTGGAACTTGGAAGAATGTCGAAAGAAAATGTGCACACGGAGAAAGGAATTTGCAGCTTGAAAAAATGATATTCAGTTAGCAAGATCAACCGTTGATATATGAATTTAAATGTACACATAACAATAATAAGAAAAGCCTCAAGTTAGATTATCGTTCTCGTATTGTTGCAATTGAAGGAAGGACTAATTCTATTGAGATGAGTCTTTGGGGTGACGAAGTTTGTCCAGTGAATGAGTAGTTATTGTATAAATCTATTGAGGGGAGGAATGGATCTTGCAAAGCTTATCATACTCAGGTTTGTTTCTGGGTTTATTTGCATGTAATGAGTCCCATGAATATGAACACAGATATCAATTAAGACAATTCTAGATACCATGATTACGAATTTGATGTTGGGAAATAGAAAGATTGACTCTATCATTGGAATGGTTAAAATTCATTAATACGTACATTAATGCTAGAACTTGAGCTGGGGTAAGCGATATTCGTACATCCGGAAAATATTTTACAGGTTCAGAAGAGATAAGACGTGAGAAATTTCGAGGGGGTGAAGAATCAACTAGTGGGATCACTCGCTCTTGCAAAAGGCTAACTTCATTTCAATCATTAAAAGAGGTTCGCGAAGACTATTGGTTAATAGTTAACGAGACTAAGGGGGGATTTCCAGATCACCAAGCTAGCACTAGCGCATGCCAAAGTCTATAAGTATCTCTATTCCCCCCCCCCCCTTTCAAATTTTTTTCAAAGTCCAAGGATAGAGGAGGAGAAGGAGATGGGAACGAAGATGAAGGACGACAGTACCAATGATCGATCGAATATCTAGGTTGCAGGGCACAGCAGGTAGTCGTATCTGTGCAGGTCAAATGCAACTTGGTGGAGGACGATACTACGAGCGAAGAATAACGAACGACCGAAGAATGAGCGAACGATCGAACGATCGAGCATCTAGGTTGCAAGGCAGCAGGTAGTCGTACTTGTGCAGGTCAAATGCAATTTGGTGTAGGACGATACGAAGAATAGCGAACGAACGAGCGAACGAGAAAACGAGCGAACAATTGAACGAACCGGATGTGGGGATCGTAGGCTATCGCCCGGGGATTGACATCCCCCGGCAAGTTTTATGAATGCCGAGCGTTTTAATTAACATCGGATGATGAAACTTGGAACCCCTCAGTATTACACTGTCTCTGAGGTGGGTCTCATTGTACTTCTGGGCTTGACCTGGGATATGAAGAGGCTATATTTAAACTTCTTGATCTAATTTTTTTTTATCTCGAGTTATGTTTTTGGTGATGCGATGTGTTTAAAGTGTGATTCGTTTCAATTCGAATAATTTTTAATCGCTTAGATCTCGCCTAGGAAATGATCATCATGTACTAGATATATCTAGGTATCAATAGTACAAACTTAAAATCGACCACTAAATTTATCCTATCGCTTCTTATTCTCTCTTTAATGTTAAGCGATGTCATTTCACTAATCATTGACGTTGGAATTTTTAGTACCAACTCTGCATCTCCACTGAACACTTGATCATTTTGACTTTCCAGTGAATTGATAGAATCGAAAATTCATAGATTCGAGATGTAGATCTGTCATGAAACTCTTCACAACGCAATTCTTGATGTGGAAACCCATAAAAGAAGGCCATCAGTTCTCTTCGCGCAATTATACTTTATGTGATCATGTACATAATATTACTTGTTTAGTGATGGCGAGAAGATGTTCTTCCCGAATCATATCTGTCTTTTCATCTGATCCCGAAAAGTCAATTTCCTAGTCTATCGCCACTTGCGTGTTCCGATTACCATGAGTACAACGTCGCTTTCTGCGCGATTTCCAATAGCTGTTCTTATCGAAAATGCTCTCTGCCAAGTACTAGCTTAAACTAAAAAAGCTTGTATGGGTGACGTGGATCGGCAATGCCACGCTAAATTAGGGATTCTCGCGTAAATCTTCTGGACTAGATTGGAACATCAGATTTGGGAAAGCGTGATCGAAAGAGCCTGTTGAACTATTTCATTAGGTCTGGCCAGGAACTAGAGTTTCTTTATTGAATCCATTTGTAAGAGAGTTCTTCCCTGATATCTGTTCATGCTCTATCAAAACTCAGCGATTGGACCAACTATCATGTGGGGGGTGAGGGGAAGAACTACAGACTAAGTTATCAAAACTGACATCTCACAAACAGTTGTGTGACTTCTTCTAACCTTTCAAGACGGATCTCATCTTCCCTATTCGGATGAGGACACAGAGTTAGTTATTGGATATAAAACCACACGGCGCCCGGAAAGCAAAGAACGACTTATCCGTTTGCCCAGCGTCTTGAAAACCCAATTGAAGTGAGGTGCATATCATTGGTTACATCTTTCGTTGAAAGTAGGGAGTTCAGATGCAATCTCTACTGAGATCAAGGCACTAGTCCAGATGCTTCTAGTGCACCACTGAAGCGATAAGTTCACCTGCAGATTCCATCATTTCCACGAACTGAACTGGCAATAACTTCACACTACTATAGTTGTATAATTGAAATCGGGCGCCTGCTTCTTCTTCGCAACTAATGAGGTTGGTTAGCTCAGGATGTAATGCCGTCTTCTCATCATCGGAGCTCTAGCTTAATTCTGTACACTGCAATTCTTACATCCCAAGCTATCGCAAGTTCGTCAAAGTTCTTCCGAGTCATGGTGTAACTTTTGTTTGTCATGTGTCCATCTTTTTTTCCAATTTCGCTTCTTAAACTGGAAATTTACGAAGATTTTTAAACAGAGACAATTACAAGGGCAGAGACTCTTGAAATATTTATCCAATATCGGGGGCATAGCTGAAGCGATGAAAAGGAGGAAAGAGACAACTACAGCAGCAGACAGAGAAGTACGATGAGAGAGACTTTAATTCACGGAAGCTGTTTTAAAGTACTCCGGCGATTGCAATGTCTATCATTCTCATGAAATATGATCTTCTAGAATTCCAAAAAGGGATCAGGGTGAAGATCCCACCTTTATTTTACACAAAGGTGCGGCAAGATCTGAAATAGACCTAGATTCACTAGATATAGCAGCTCAAGATTCCAGGAACGAAGGGAGATTCTCAGAACGCTAATCCTGATTTGGATAGAAAATATACCACGGAAATAGTGATATGTAGTATGATATTTGACAAAATAGCCGGAGATGGAAACCGTATACATCGGTAAGGTTAATGATTTTTATGAGCATAGATATTAGGCTTGAAGTGGTGAGCACGGGTACGACACAGGGGTGTGTGAACGCCTAAGCGCGTTTTAGCGCGGCTTACACAATTGATTTCACATCATTACCAATCTCCAGGGCTATCTCTACCCCGCATTGCGTTCTCAGTAATCAGATCGGGTCATCCACCAGATCCAAAAAAGACCCTGAACACACCATATATAATTTTTGCTCTACACCCTTTTGCTACCTACTAACATCTGCCGAGTCTAACTTTAAGAATCCTGTTGATCTGCTACTTTCTGGGCATTTCTTCCTGCACCTCATGCGCATCCTTCATCGAGCCACAACTCTACTAAAAGTCTGCCATCAATATAGCAACATATTTCAACCTACCTGTCCGGCTTCAATCTCTTCAATCTCAAGCATGTCGACTTCAAGCTCCACTCCTCTTGCTCCGGTAATATCCGTTTGCCATGGTGGTGGTCCTATGCCCGTTATGAACGACCCCGGCCATGCCGAACTCATAAAGTCCATGAGCACTCGTGTTCCAAAAATACTAGGCATTTCACCCAATTCCTCTACTTCGAATCCTCCAAAGGCTATTGTATTAGTTACTGCGCATTGGACCGAGACACGTCCTCATATAAGCAGCGCTCAGCATCATGATTTATATTATGATTACTCTGGATTTCCATCGGAAACATATAAATTAAAGTACCCTGCACCCGGAAGTCCAGAAGTAGCGAAGGAGGTTTTTGAGCTACTGGATGGAGCAGGCTTGAAACCGGTATTGGATGAGAAAAGAGGTTTGATTACTGAATGCCATCATTTTGATTCATGTTACTGACCACCAATCTCCAAAAAGGCTGGGACCACGGCGTATTCATTCCCCTCCTCCTGATTGCTCCCAAAGCGCAGATCCCCATCGTGCAAGTCTCCGTCCTACGATCGAATTCTCCTGCACAACACTATGCTATGGGCCAGGCTTTGGCACCTTTGCGCTCTCGCGGAATCGCCATTCTTGGTAGTGGCATGCCGACATTTCATAACCTTCGTCTCATGTTCTCTGGTGTCATGAATACTCCTGCATACAAAGCACGTAATGATGAATGGTCATATCGGTTGACAGAAACACTGAAAATAGCCGATGCTGAAGAACGCGGTAAAAGGCTAGAAGATTGGAGGCAATGGACCGGTGCTGAGGATGCGCATCCTGAGAAGGGACAAGAACATTTCCTACCATTGATTGTATGCGCGGGCGCTGGAGGCAATAAAACGGGGAAAGGATGGGCAGATCAAGCTATGGGTTCGCCGCAATGGACATATTATTGGGATTGAGGATATCTGTCATGTAGCGTTCTTGTGAACATGACCGGGTAATTGAGGCGTGAGGCGATATTTTATACCATGTGGATAATTTAGGAGATTAATAGGATGAATGACGCATGACATCCGCATATCATAACTTTCAAGACGATTTTGTCAACCCAAACTTTAAAGAACATATATTGTTTACGAGGAACATCACAAAACTGGTATACCACAGAAGTAACAGTCCCATCAGACTATTATCTCTTCAAGTTTATAACTCGCTTACCCTAAACGTTATCAAGCAGGCTTCAAAAAGGAATCACAGCACATGAGCTCCAGGAACGTTATGCTTGAAAAATGCTTTAATTCGAGCACTAGGAAAAGAAGAAATTAAAGTGAGCAGAATGAGCAGAATGAGATAAGCTAGGAAGTCGCACGGTGCATGAAGCCAAGATTTGAAAGCAAAAACATATATATAAGCAAGAACAGCGCTGCCGGAAATCAAGAGCATAAATATGGAATTGACGACAGTTAAAACGAGACTAAGACAGCTATGCAATCAGATCAAGGGATCATTCAAGCTCAATCCGTCATCCAGTACCACTACACGACCCCGCAGGTGCGCCAGCAGAGACAATCGCATATTCAATGCAGCCCTTTTGCCAGATTGTCGTTTGCCCCGAAGCATGCTATTCATATGGATTACTCGCGTTCACTGTCATATTTTCAAACTTCCATTTGGGAATAGTCCCACATCCGCCAAGTTGATTCAAGAGTCCGTTGCTGTGAAGATAATCACAGCCATTGTCAAGGTTGCTTGCATCCAATTATAGTCCTGGATGTTGAATGCGTCTAAGACTAACCTTGTATTGTGTGTGGCAGGCGAGAGCACTCTGCGGTTTCATCGCCAAAATAGAGATAGAAGTCCTAAAGCTAGGGAGAATAAAGTTTACTCTGAGTACGAGCGTATTTTTCAGCTAAAGAGTGTGAATGATTGATAGAATTGGAGATTTGGTCCTATTCGATAATGAAAGGCACATCAATCAAGTTGAATACACGTACCTGATATCTAAACTATTCTGACACCGTGTCTATTCTCCCTTTCAAATACAACGGCCATTGCACAGTATTCATAGCTTTTCTCTCAGTACACTAGTGAGTATCATAGCTCTATCAGTACTCTAGAGCTCTCGTCCTCAATCCTTAGCTGTTGAAGTATTGAAACAGAAGACAACATATTAACATAATAATATGGAGAGATTTGGCAATGAGACATAATAGGCATTCATCGTCGACTCGAGAGCTCACAATAGCACTGGTACAGTGAATCTTCAGATAGAACTTGTGTGAGCAGGACCAATTTCTATTCGAGGAATGACATTGCCCCCAACAGTGAAAATGGGCGTATTCCCGACAGTGGCGATGTAGAGCGAGTGAGATGAGTGAGATAAATGAATAAAGGGATTTGAAGAAATGCAGACAGCATCATTAGGGTATGATATTGAATTATGTTATAAGTCACCTTTTATACTGCAAAAGTTTCCCTTCCCCTTGCTTTCAGTTTTGCTGTCACGATTTGTGAGAATCAAATGGCATGAAAATCAACGAATCTAACATTGTCAGGCTGGCTCAGTACTTCGCTCCGGAGTTGCAATTTTTCACAACATCGTTTCGATCTAGTTGACTCAAATGCCTTACCTAAACGTGTGTATGCTATGCGTATGTAGTATCCTTACCATACGCCCCCCAAAACAACCATACAAGCTATATCAATACTAGCTTTTCATGTGATCGAGAAACTAACCCATATTTTCTCTTTTGCTTACGGCTCTGCATCACTCGAGTCCCTCATAAGGAAAAGCCGAGACAAAAATTTCCTTTTCCCTCACCCCATTATAGTCGGCTTTCTGAGCGGCCGACTATTACTCCAATTCGATGCTAATCATTGTCATGGTCACATCCCACAGTAGCAGTCACACCATCTCGAACGCAGGTCAAGCAAAGTCCAAATTTTTCACACAAAAATTTCAATTGCCGAACCGGCCCTGCTTTGTATGGCCATGAAGGTGTATGAAAGTTCGTATGACAACATGCACCGCTTTCCGTCTCATGGATTGGATCAGGCATACTCTCCACCAAATTTATCGCTTTGGAGAGGGAGACATCACATAGCTTATTTGGCCAAAGCTTATATTTCTCCAGTGATTTCAGGTATGGATATGCATATCGGGAAGTGAAATCACAGCCGTAAGCACATTTCCCTGAATCCATTTCTTCTAAGAGCGCTTGACAAATTCTGACCTTGCGTAGCTCCTCTGTGCTTCGAGTAGACCTTTACATTAAAGAATCAGTCAAGGACCCAAAATCATCGGTGAGATACTTACAAAATACCCTCCAGCTCATTGCAGATTCAACTTCATCGCACGCAAGATCGAGGTAAGAACCGTGATAGTTGAGTACCAAAGCTTTTGTAATTTCCTTGAACGCTCGTGTATCTCGAAAAAGATACGCCGCCGCAACAAGACGCATTTGATCACTCGGATCTTTGGCACCAATCCGGAGCAAAAACTCGCTGGCAAATTTCATGGCACCGAGAAAATCGTATTTTTCCGCTACAATAGCAACCTCCAAAACTTGACTCGCAGTAATACCTCTAGCAATCTCATTATGTTGGTGATGAATAATGGCAAGTATGGTTTCCAAAGCAGCTGCATTATCTGCAGGAAGTTCTATCTCTTTGGGACCATCCCGATGGAGCAAATCTTGGCCTTCCTGCCATTCCCATTTGAACATGGCGTAGAAAGGCTTGGAAGCTACCTTGAGAAATAATGAATGAACGCGAAATCTCTTCATCTCTGGCCCAACAACTAAAATTATGTCGCCATCGGGAGCAAAGTTGACAATCGCGCTTGTAGTTCTGTCCCCTTGGTGCTCCATGATTGTTTCAATTCAGCTGTATCAATTTTGATTAAATCACAACCAGTTTTCTGCTTCGGCTTTGGTTGTTTCCGCACGATAACATGTGAAGAAGTTCAAGCTTGAAGTAAGGTTACTGTGTGAACAAGGGTGTTCACTTCAAAGGAATGACTTCACTTCAATGGCTACTGTATTAAAGGGATTAAGCGAATGCAAAAGAGACTAGCTCTTTCAGTAGTGCCTATATAAGGCCTACTATTTTCCCACTTAGCTAGCTCTTTAGATTGAATACAAATAGACATTTATGGGCCTACTGATAGTGGGAACCACGTCTTCCGTATCTTTCTCGAACCAACAATTAATCAAACCTGATATTCAAAAAATACTGATTCCCATTGTTTTTCTATTTATTGATATATTTTCAATAATCTAATTTAATTGAATATCAGAAATATTAAAACTTTATATTCAGAAAAAAAAACTTGATTAAAAGAATTTTGAATTATTTAAGATTTCGAGTCTAATAAGTTTTTATATCTATAAATTAGAATTCTCTATTTTTATAAGAATTTACCTTGTTTTCATATCAATTTGCTATACCCTATATATAATAATTCTATTCCTAAATAATATAATCTATTACTATTATCTATAAGAATTGATAATTTAAAATATTTTAAAATTACTAAGATCCTAAATGTCACGGTGTGAGATCACGTGACATATTGGTCCCCTCGGAGGGGACCGAATTGGGCGCTCGCGCCGGAGCGCAAGTGAGCTAGAGCTTGATCGGGCTAGCTCGCTTAGCAAAATCCTGTATATCTTCAACTTGGAAGATTCTATATTATAGCTCTTTAAGCTATATCTTAATCCTCAATCTGAATCTATTATCCGAATCAATATAACTTTACTAAATTAAGACAAAGTTATTAGAACTCTATCCCACCCGCCTGCCCTATAATACTATATAGCTCCTACCTATTAAAACATTGCTTTCATGATAATTGCTTTGTATCCACCTGGCTGGTCTAGGGATTCCTCAGAATTTGGTGCTTCTATATTAGAGAACCCCCAGGTTTAATATTAATACCTTTAGTCAATATCTATATATTATACCGAACTAGAGGAAACCAATAGATTACTCGAATGCGAAATTTCCGAATCCCTAGTCCACAAATGTATTCAAGCCGCTCTGTACAAGTAGGTTATTATTCAAAACGCTTGTCTACTCGATCGCCTTACCAAATCCATATTTACTATACCTACTCGTTTGGAATTATATCCCTCGAAATTTCCACTGATTTTGTCCCCGAACCTACTGTATCTGCTCCGATTATTCGATTAAGTGAGCGTATCCCCAATCCGAAAGAATTTGATGGTATTCGTTTTGATCTGTGTAGATTCATTTAATAGATATATGGAAAATTGAATATGAATAATAATAGATTCCTGACAACTTTTGCCCACTTAATTTACATTGTTAGAAGACTTACTGGAAAGGTATACAAGCTTATATTATCTAAAATCTCCTATAGGATTTTTCAGTTCATTAATTATACTACATTTCTCGAATATCTCGAAAACGTTTTTGGGGATTCTAATCGAATACAAAATGTATAGAATAAATTATATATATTGAAACAAAGATATCTCGATTTTAGCACCTTCTTTACAGAATTCCAAAGATTTGTTCTAAAAGGAGAGATGCTTAATAATATTCTAACCTTATTCCTATTTCAAGAAATCTCTTATGAATTATAAGATATACTGTTATATAACCCCACTTCAATTTGTGAATTTTGTTAATATACTAATTATCTATAATAACTTAATAACCGATTCCATCAATATTAATAACAAATCTACTATATTCGTTTTATCATTTCTAAAACTTTATCCCAGAGAATAATTGCTATTCTGTTTTTATGATTTGCTAGTCTGAAGTCTACCCCTAAAGACCCAATGGATCTAAGCTTAGGAAAAAGAAATATACTACTAGGAATCTAGATTTATAATAGGAACGCAATGAATACTATTGTTATGGCTTTGTTAACTATCTAATATAAGACTGCCCGCATTCTAATACTCATCCTATTCAATTTTGAGTTATCATTATTATAACCAGTTCTATAAGAACCAGTCCTATATCGAATAATCCTCCAAAAAGCTGAGTCCCTATCCATTTCCCACCTCGCTCTTCTCCCCACTCGCCGATCAGCTCAATCAATTCGGGAAACGGGATACATCTGATCTAAACTGTAATTAGAACAATTCTCCGTGTACTCTCCATTTATCTACTACTACTATTTATGGTTTTCCTTTAAAAAATAAATTAAATAATTGTGCAGATCTGATAATTCTATTCATTACCCTGTTCTTGGAAAAAGACACCCTCCCGATATATGCTATAGTCAATAACGGATGCGAAGGAATTGCCTTTGTAGATTGAAGCTGGATATCTTCCTAGAAAATACCAGTACACCAACTATCTACAGCATTCGAAGTCATAGGATTCAATGAAAATACCCTATCCGATAATCAAATTACCTTCTACATCCAAATAGGATTTAGAATTAATGATTATATTGAGAAAAAGATCGTTTTGTATATAACCGAGCTAGTCTATTATTCTATTATACTAGGGATAGCTTGACTTAAGAAATACAACCCTCATATCAACTTTGTGATAAACTTGTTCTAATTTGATAGTTTATTTTGCTACAAATTTTGTAATACTCTATCCCATTTATTCTATATAAAAGCTCTGCTAAATGTTCCTTCAAAAACCCGATTTGTACATCTGCCTGCTTGTTTTGAAGGATTAAAGAATAAGGATATAATTACAATCTCCTTAAAAGTCTGTTTGGCTTATATTTGCTGGAAATATGAAATGTTCCAGATATCAATCGAGTAAATCGATAATATTCTAAATAAAAAGAAAAAGATATTCGACCCTAAAGATCTATTACCCGAATTCCGAAATTGGAAAGATATCTTTTTCCTAAAGAATATAGAAAAGCTATTCTCTTATTAATTATACAATCATAAGATCCATTTTAAAGAAAGAACTGTTTTTCCTTTTGGTATCTTATACTCTATGTTCTGTTTTGAATTAGAAGCTCTGAAAGAATGGCTGGAAGAGAATCTTAAAAAAGAGTTTATCTGGCTAAGCTCTTCCCCTGCTGTTTTCCCTATTTTGTTTATTAAGAAGGCTGATGGAGGCCTCCGGTTTTTATATAGATTATTATATTTTGAATAATTTATTGGTTAAGAATTAATATTCTTTATTATTAATAAAAAAATCTCTGAATAATTTAAAAGGAATAAAGTATTTCAATAAGATCGATATTATTTCTATCTTTAACAATATAAGAATGAAAGAAGGGCAGAAATATCTGATTATGTTCCATATCCGATTCGGACTATTCGAATTCTTAGTTATACTGTTTGAATTGATAAAGGCTCCTGTAACCTTTTAGAGATTTATCAATGATTCCCTATAAGGATATCTAAATATATTTTACACCGCTTATCTGGACAACATTCTGATATATAGTCGAACTCGAGAGAAATATATTCATTATATTCAGAAGGTTTTGCAAGTATTAAGGAAAGCCAACTTGTTCGCTAAATTCGAAAAATGTGAATTCCTGAAATCCGAAATCAAGTTTCTAGATTTTATTGTAGGAAATAATAATATCCGAATGGATTTAGAGAAAATCCGAATAATTGTGAATTGGAAACTGTCTGCTAGTATAATTGATATCCAAGTATTTATTAGGTTTTCGAACTTTTACCAATAGTTTATTAGAGATTTTTCGAAGATTATCAACCCAATAATAAATTTGATCAAAAAGAATGTTCCATTCCTATAAAGCTCTATCTATTAAAAAGTATTCAATCAATTAAAGCAAGTATTTATCGAAGTATTTGTTCTAGCTTCTTTCGATTAGAAAAAGGAAGTAATTGTAGAAACTAATACCTCCGATTATGTATTTGTTGGAATATTCTTTTAATATAATAATAATAAAGTATTTAGATTTATTGTATTCTTCTCTAAAAAACATTCAATAGTTAAATGCAACTATAAGATTTATAACAAAGAACTGCTAGCTATTATCCATTGCTTTAAAAAATAGTATTCTGAGTTAGAAGGTGCTATATTATTAATTCAAATGATTATTAATTATAGGAATCTGGAATACTTTATTATAACAAAGCTATTGAATTGCCATTAAGCTTGTTAATCCGAATTTCTGTTTCGATTTAATTTCCAAATCATTTATCGCTTTGGGAAGCTAGGTGTCAAATCTGATGTACTAATCAGAAGATCAGAAGATCTCTTTAAGAAAAGGAATGAATATCTTCTACATCAAAACCATATTATTCTGAAACAAGAGAATCTGGATTCCGACCTGTTTCCCACTGCTGTTATTCTAATCAAACCCAAGATTACCAAGAAGTATATTTCGCTGTAATTACCTGTAACTAGAGAAATCCCGATTCTATCGATACTATTAACCACTTGGATTCCGATAATACTGTAACTTTACCAGAAAATAGTAAAGTTATAGAGTTTGTAATCCTATATGCTATATCTATATCTAATTCTGTGATACAATTAAAGGATCCAGAAATCCCTTTATACTTTTCTGCCGATCTGTTTATTTTGTTCTACAAAGGCTATCAAGCCGATTCTATACCCGAATCTATCCTGAAATCCCTATAAAAAGGATTCCCGAAATATTCGAAAATTACTTTTACTGAATATATCGAAACAATAATCTGCTATATTATCAAGGGAAACTATATATTCCTGATTACAATTCCCTAAAAATCTATTTGCTTTGCTTGTACTACGAATCGCCTGCCATCAGTCATCTATACTATACCCAAACCTTCGAATTATTATTCTGAAACTATTATTAGCCTGGATATTATGATTATATTATGTAATAAGTCTATAACTGCTATAGTTATTATTGTGCTACCCTGAATTGTAAAGGCTAGAAAAAAGTTCT